TAATTTCAACAGTAACACCAAATAAACCGTTATTTAATGCTATGATGGTAAACGTAAAACCAAACATAGTACATTAAAATAAGGAGCCGAGCGCTGCACAATAAACAATAGTTTACTGGCGAAATATACCGCGCGGAATGGTTGGAAAAACACGAGAAAAGATCTGTCCAACTCACGAGCCATCTTTTCGAGTGTTCTCTCAACCATCCCAAGCGGTTTATTTCGCCAGTAAACCGCTTCAAGCTATCGTTCATTGCTTTTATATTATAGCAGAAAATTTGGACAAGTGTCCGTCATTTAGACTCAAAAGTCTTTCAAGACAGCAGGCTGGTTTACCGGCGAAATAAAACTTAGCTTTTCTCATGAAATACCCGAATCAGCCAGTGTGTTAGAATTTAGCTCTAATAAATATGAAACTTATTTGAAACCCGTTTTAATTAAAGTAATCAACATTTGGTTAATCAAATGGGAGATTAGGTGTATGAAAATGGACCTAATTTTCTTTGGCTTCCCATACCGGAAGTAGTCATTATTGTATTTCAAATCAACATGAATTGTGGAAATACGTCATTACAGGCTGAGAAGGGACTGAGTATTCTGGCARAACTCCGAGAATACCACTGATATGATGTTTTTTTTTTTCATAAAAAAAGGTTGCGTTGATTCAATTATTCTGGTTTTTGTCTTTCATATTMAAGCATTATTGTTTAATCCGTTTATTTAATTTAATAAATTAATTTGTTATCAATTTATCAATGAAATCAACAGCTGACTGATTGGTCATTGATAAGATGATATTCTCAACGTACTCGTGTAATATTCATTTTTATCATTTTTATCCTTCAGTGGCTTAATTTACATGAATCGCTATGGCGCTTTTCAATGATTTTCAAAATATYAACTGAATAATATGCTTCAGTAGTTAGTTTTCATTAGATCCTTCGTTATCATGTGCTCATGGTGGCGATTCTTCTTCTTATTCACATAGTTGTTATGGATTCATTTACCTATATCTAAAACCCTGTTCTCCTAACCTTCTTGTAAAGTCTTCTATATTCTTTGTTTATTTACATTTGTTCATGTATTATAGATGTATGGTTAAGACAGTCCCCTTATGGATACTAAATTTATTTTTTTAACAGTTTGATTGATTTGCAATGTTAAAATTGTGAAAGGAAGCGAAAACTGTGTGAATTTTCCATTGATGATCACAATAAAGTAAAATTGTTGTTGTTGTTGTTGTTGCTGTTGTTTTGTTTTGTTTTGTTTTGTTTTATTTTTGCTTTTTTTTTGCTTTTTAGTTATTTCTGTCACTTATTTTCGTGTTTCAATATCCAATCAATTTACATATATTTGAAATATCTCGGAAATGGTCAACCCGCATAATCTGCAACGCGTGGCGAGCGTCTTGCAGACTGTCTACGACTAGCACTACCAAATTATCGACATTTTCACCCTCATAAACCAAATAGTCATAACATTCAAATAATTATCGTCGGAGTCATCTAAATGACTTGACAATAGCCCGGAATCACTCTCTTACCTTAATCTTAACAATCGAAATTTTAMGCAAAATTAAGCCTACTTGTCATCRCTATYTTCAAAGTTMATTGTTTTGAATCTTACATYCTTTTTATGTGGGTTGGGAGTGAATAAAATTACTAGTTGCACCTCCATAATGATGTTTTGTTGCTTCCATTTATCTATATACTTTTTATGTTATGTTTTTTTTTCAGCTTTCTTATTTTATGCTTTTATCAATACTATATATGTAGCCAAGCTATATTTCGAAAAAGATTGTTTGAGAGAACACCTTGCGCATGACCGAAKGGCACTATGGGATATTAATTTTCTCTTGGATAATATCAGTAATCCGCTTAAAAACACGACCAAACCAAATAAACCAAAATGAAAGATTAGATATTTCAAAAGATTGACAGCTTTGACTGTCTTTAATTGTTCAATTTTGCCATAAATATTCAAAGCATCGTAACTGTCGCTCACTTTCATATATTCTTTATTTTTATGCAACAGCACTATATCTTAAGCTGAACAACAAGTAATTTATTTTACGGAGACTTCACACTTAAGCCTTTAAGTGCAATTAAAAATGTTGTTGTG